CTCGTAAACACCAAATTTTGAATGTAAACGCCAACATCTCAAGCGTAAGAATTAAACTGGTGATGAATTTCGCCTGTGGCGACACGATGTACCAATTTACTCGAATTGGAACGTCCCGTCGACCTGCTGCTAGGCGAACGGATCGCTCCCAGTCGGCGTCACGGGCTCCTCTTCGCTGCTCTCGTTCGGTGTTTCGATCCGGCCGGCGATTGACTCAGGTAGCGGTGTCTCGGTATGAAGAAGCTCGTCAGCGTCGAGAACCAAAGCATTGCTACTGGCATTGGACCGTGTCGAGACCATCGGTGACGCGTCGTCAGTACGCAGCTCGACGGCGGCTGCCTCGCTGCAGACTGCAGCGACTTCAGGAGGGTCATCCTTGGTTGTCTCCAATGCCGCTTTTGCTGGCTCGTCATCAGTTGCATTGTCTTGAGGCTCTGTCAGACCCACGGTCCCTCTTGATTCTTCACTGCTTGAGGGAGAGCTTCTTGCCTCATCTACGCCTTGGGCCTCAGAGACGGCCGACAGCTCGGCAGCGGTACTCAACGCCTCAACAACTGCCTCATCGGATGGTGCCGAAACAGCTTCGAGATCATCACCTTCCGGGGCCACCGTCTTTGCTGCGTCGTCAACGACGGACGATGCTTCATCGGGACGCTCCGTGAACACCTCAACTTCTCTTGTGCCGTCCGTGGCTAATGCAATGTGCTCTGCCTCGTCGACGACTGACGGGATTTCGTCCGAAACCATCGGTGACGCGTCGACGGGATGCGGCTCTTCGGATACGGCAGCGACGTCGGGATCGTCAATCGGACTTGCCCTTGACGCTGCCTTCTCCAATTCGCCGATTGCATCGTCGCGAAGCTCTGCCAGAGACACTGCTGCATCGTCCGTGACGGGTCCCAAGTGCTCTGGCTCGTCTACGCCTGGCGCCTCGTCTTCCGAGACTACTAGCGGCTCGACAGCGGCGACAGCTGCTTCGCCGGCTGCACCTTCGTGATCGCCGCCTTCCAGGGTCATAGGCGCCGCCTGTGCTGGAGCCTCGTCGATAGACGCTCCCTCTTCGCAAGGGGTTCTCGGAGCGCTTGCGTCATCCGTGGGAGCCGTAGCGAGCTCTGCCTCGGCCACGAGCGGGATGACATCTACCGAGGGCTCGACGGTGCTGGCGGCGCTTATATCAGACTGCACTGCGACCACCGCTTCTGGTGGCGTTTCTGGGATCGCAGGGCCCTCGCGTGGCACGGTATTGTCGCCGTCCACACTTGCCAAAGCCGTTGCATCGTCCGTGTCTTCGGATACATCGTCGTCTTTGCTGTCAGACGCTTCACCCTCTTCATCTCCCTCCTCCGCCTCTTCTTCGTCTCCGTCTTCTCCCTCTTCCTCGCCGTCGACCTCGCTCTCTTCCTCGCTAGCTTCCTCGCTGGCTTCCTCGCTGCTCTCTTCCTCGTCATCGTCGCCTTCTTCACAATCTTCATCGGCCTTCTCGCTGTCTTCCTCGGCTACCCCTTTCGCGGCTTCCGCCTCCACGTCTCGATCATATTTGTCAGCACTGCCGCGATCGGTAGACCTCGTAACAGCATCTTGCGAGCCGCTTGCCGTGGCGTCGATGATGCAAGAGGCTCCTTCGACAGAGTCGAGATGCGCATGCGACGTCGAATGTAGCAGCATTGGCGTCTCAGCCGTGGAGGCTACAGTGTCGTCGACGGAGGCTTTAGACACCATAGCATTCTCGATAGCTTCCTCGTCTGGCGGCAGCGTCATGTCGCCGTCCGAGCCAAACATGTCAACGTCGGGCGTCGTGACGGCGGCTTCCACGTGGTCTTGCTCGGTTTGTGCCTGGAGCTGTAAGCTGTCAGCTACCAGTGGCAAAACGCTGACCGACGACGCTTCGAGTTGAGTAGACAGGGCGTCACGGATGCTTTCTTGTGCTGCCACCTCGGTTGCGTCCAGTGCGTCGTCTGCATCATCTGCCGGTGGCAAAGCCATGTCTCCATCCGAGCCGGACTCGAGGTCGGGCTCGACAGGGTCGGTCGCCTCGGGTATCGGTGCATCCATCTTGCACGTCTCGCGCAATGAGACCTCCAACGCTGCTTGGCTACAAGCGTCGATGGCCAAGAGAGGCGCTTCGGCGTTTTTAGCAGTCTGCTGACGCCGTCGCCACACGCGCTGGATAGCTGTCGCTGCGGCTTGGCTCTTCTGAACACTGCGACGACAGCGGTGCGATCGGTAGACGCTTTGAACAGCCATGGCGGCCTCGGTCTCGGTCAAGAAGACGTGCCACTGCCGCCAACGCCCTTTAATCCTTGTTGACGCGTCGCGGGCGCGCCAAAAGCGCCGACGCAACACAAACATGTGAAGCCACGCACCCAGCGTCCGCTCGCGCACGAGCTTGCGTCGGGTCGCGTGGCCTCGGGCGTGGCGCTGGATCGCAACCGCCGCATCGAGACGGACCCGGTGACGGCGCCAGGCCCGCTGAAGGCGTGTCGCAGCGACGCGCGCCTGGTTCGCCCGTCGGCGCAGACCGTGGCGCCATAGCACTCGCAGCAACCGTGTGCGCGCGGTTAGCAGCTGATGTCGATGGTGCTGCGCTCGCCACCGCCGGGCGTACGCCTGTACAAGCACTACACATCGTGTTGAGACTGCAGTGGCGTCTCAGAGGGCGCGGTACCGATTGCGATGCGAACCTGACGCAAGTGCGTCTGCGCCTGCCACCGACGAACGTGCGCTTGAAGCAGCCGCGCCGCCGTCCAGCGCCCCGCTTGCAGATGCACGAACTTGGACCGACACACGAACCGGCGAGTGTTCGATTGAATGCACACGGCTGCGCGATGGATTCGGAGGTTCGCGTGGAACCGGAGACGCGCGAGCCTGCCACGCACCCTCGACTGCAAGAGGACCACCGCCGCGGCCCGCTGCATCTTGGCGGCTTGGTACCGCTTCTGCTGCAAGCGCATGCGCACTTTGGACTGCAGCAAAATGGACGCGGTCGTCTGCGCCACGCGCGCGGCCTGTCGCTGGGTCTGCAGCTGCGCTTGGCGATCGAGCTCGAGCCTACGCGTCCTCGTCATCACGGGTAGAAGAGGCGTCGACCTACGCGAGCGCCGACTGGACGACAGTGGACCGCGTCGTCTGTGCTTGTTTGGTTTGCTGGCACTGCTGGAGCGCAAGTGTCGTCTGATGTAGCTGCTGCTGCAGGGACTGGCAGCGCTCGGTTTGTGCAGCGAGCAGCCGTTTTGCTGCTGCGACGTCGTCTTGAAGCTTCTGGCAACGGTCCTACTTGGCGCATCTTGGTTCTCTTGTAGTACTTGAGGAAGAAAACACCCACCGTAACATCGGCGTGGTCCGACTGGAGCTGGTGGTGGACGTCACGCAAGGCGTGCAGCTCCGTCGATCGCCCGAGAAGCTCTGGCTCCGCGTTCTCGGGGGCGTCGCCTTCTTCCCTCGACCTACCGGGGTCTTGTAGCTGCATGCGTAGCAGTTGCGCGTTGACGTCGCGAAGACGCTGGACTTCTTCGCTCAGCATCGCGAGCTTGCCTTCGACAACCACATCGTCGTGCAGACCTTTTGGCGGCGTCCGGTGCAACAGATGGTGGTGGGCGAGCGCGCGGTCGCTCTGCACACGCCGCTTGACCTTCTCGCTCTCTTGAACGTGCTTGGCAAGCGCGAGCCGCCGCGCGGATTCAGCGTCAACCAGCTGGGCTCGCAGCTGCCGATTCTGCTCCTTGAGCGCCTCGGGCGATGTGTCGTACTCGAGACTGAGCTGCGTCGTGCGCCACTCCGTGTGCTTGGCGTAGATAGGTCGCGCCGGCGTCGATCGGCCTCTCCGAAGTACACCGAGGGGCTGGTGCGTCGACTTTTTCTCTGCGAGCGCTGCCGTGAGCTGCTCGACTCGGGCCTCCAGCGCCTCGATGCGCGGAGAGGTGCAGGCACTGGTACTGGAGGGCACTAAGAGAGCTTGCTGCTGCTCATGCGCTTGCATGCCAGCAACGTACTCGTCAAACGTCACTTGCTACCCTTCCGACGCATGAGCTATGTGTGCAATTACAGAGAGAGAGACGTACTCCGTCGCCGTTGATGTCCAGGTGCTGGAAGAGCGTCGCAATCTGGTCCTCTACGGGTCGCGTGTCGGTTGCCGAGAGCAGCAACGTCTGCAGTGCGACATTGCCTTGGAGCGCCGCGCGAAGCTCCCGCAGCGAGATGCTTCCGCTGTGGTCACTGTCGATCATGTAGAAGAGCTTCTTCCACTGCGCCGTCGTATTGGACACACCCGATGCGATTCGAATGGAGGGTGTAAAGGTCAGGTCGACGCGAACCGCGCCAACTTCATCTTTGGAGATGCGGTCGAGGAGGGGATACCAGCGGCTCGGTATCGGTCGGCGCCACACCTCTAGAAGGGGCAGCGAGGCGAGCGCAATTGCAACAGGTCCCTGGAACACCACGATCGATATGCTTGGCGCTACGGAGCTTGCCTGAGCGTTGGTCACGGAGAACACGACGGGTGCGCTCGGAACAGACGCGAGCTGGTGCTGCAGCGGCACCGTAGACGACGACGCCAACGACGGCGGCACCGAAACCGTGATCGTCGTCGGCAGACCCGACGTTGTCGCTGCGCTTGAAAGCACGAGCTTGGTCACGGCGAGTTCGACGTCGCCGTGCAGCTTTGCCAGGAACGTCGCCTGAATATGTACGTGCCCGGCCTCGTGAGCAAGCGCGAGCCAATCATCGATATGGAAATCATCGTCCGAAACAACGAGGGGAGCGAGGATCGAAGCGCTGCCATTGGTCTGGCCCAGCGACGCACCTCTGGAGAAGAGACTGCACGACAGCGAGACCGGCAGCGTCGGGACGTTGAGCACGACGTGGTCGGTCCATTTCGGCGCCCCGTCGCTGAGCTTGTACACGGACGACTTGTACACGTCGAGGTCGCCCGCCCGTAGCCGAAGGTAGGGGCTCTAATACGGTATACATGTAGCAGCACGAGAGCTTCTCTTCCGAGTACCTTCCACGAGAGCGCGACTTTGGCTTCCAATGGCTCCAAATAGAGTTTGCCGACCACGGGCATCGGTGCAGCGGCGGGCGACAGCGATACAAGTACTTGATGCGTTCCGACGGTTGTCCACTGCCGCGCGGTATTCGGCACCGCCTTGACCGACCCGCTGCCAACAACGACGCCGCCTTGGTACATGTCGATGCGCACCGCCCCTGCGCTGTGTGGCAGCAGTACGCTCGGTTCGGTCTTGGTCGCTGACGTGGTCGTCGTCTCGATCGCGTCGCCGAGCACACAGAGAAACAGCGTTGCTTGGTACCACTGGGGTGAGCCCTTGATATCGTGAAAGGTCAAGAGGAGGCCCGTGTCGTCAGAGGCTCCTCGCCCGAGATGGCGCACCGCGTGGAGATGCACGTTGACAACGCAGACGCGGTCACCGGTCGGCGTCAAGGCCGGCAGCGCGAGCATCGCGACATGTCCCTTGTCTGTGATGTACGAGAAGAGCGGCGTCACCGCCGTGGCTACGAAACACCTCAGACACAGAAGGCCCCTCCAGCGTACCGAGTGTGGCTTGGGTCTCGCCATGCAAGATTGCGAGCGACAGCAGTGGGTGGCAGCCGGGCCCCGAGAGGTCTACGGCGTCAAACCATAACGGCGCATCGAGGCGTGCTCGACCTCCGACAACGGGCGACGTGCTATCGGAATGCCGGTTGATCTTGGAGGCTACGAATATGAACGTACGCCGACGAGATGGTTTTCGCCTGTAGCGTCGCGAGAAGCTGGACACTGGAGATGTTGGCGGGCACTTGGTCAAGCGATATGCTGTCCATCGAAACACGCAACGTCGCCGTCATGCTTGCTGATGGCGGCAGGCGTGGCATGGGCGTTGGAGGTCCAGGTATAAAGACCAGCGCCAACACCGTGTCTTTTATCAGAAGCGACGAGAAAGACCATTCAGATGGCTGCAGTAGCCATGCTGCAAGGTTGATGCAAGCCGCAGGTGCGTCGGCAGCTTCAAGCACGAGGCTCGGGACGGTTTTTCGCTCGGGCTCCAATGCAGAGGCACAGCCATCTACACCACGCGGCGCTTCATGCGACGATACAAAAACTGCAGTGAGGTACAATGCGCGAAGACGGAGGCACGTGCGTCGCCGACCACTTGCTGGCCGCGATTCGCATCGTCACCGCCGCTGCCACGCTCTGATGAGCAAATTGGCAACATAACACACAAGGTACCTGGCGATGTGAGCTGCAGATAGAGCGTGCCGGGTCCTGGGACATACTGCACAGGGCTGGTTACGTCGCTGAACAGATCCTGCTGCGCGTCGTAGGCGAACGGTTGCGACGCTATGCTGCAAACCACCTCGTGCACAACGGAGCCGCCCAAGACGAGCGCCACCGGCCCTTGCCACGGTGTCGCCACCGAGCTATCTACAGAGACCAAAGCAAATCGATCGCCTGTGTGGTCCTGTACCTGTCAGCATCTCTCCGTAAATGTACCCCTGAGCGGTATCGGCAGCCTCGAGGACAAGAACGGCGGTTCGACTGTCGTCGACGCGCAGCTCCAGTCGCATCTCCTGCGACAACGCGTGCTTCTGACCATCCCACGAGACTACAACGGAAAGATCTGGTGTGACGAGCGAGATCCACACGTGGCGTGGCGAGGGCTCGTAGGTCGCCGTGTCGGAGCCGAACCCAACGCGGATCGCCGATGACAAGGCCACGTCAAAGGTGGCGGACGAAGCAGCGCAGACCACGCGTGAGAGACGCACCTCGTCGTCCAGGAGAAGCGAGAGGTTCAGGATCGGCTCGTCGAGACAAACAGAGAGCTCGATGTTGCACGCGACGCACGCCAGAGCGGACGAGCAGTGGGCGATGAGCGGCTGCGTCGACTGCAGCACGACGTCACCGCCACAACGAAGCTCCACAGTCTTGGTCGTCGCCGGAAGGTTGCAAAGACGCGTCAGCCGAACGGTCGTCAAGAAAGCTTCTCGGGCAGCAACGACCAAGAGCTCGCCTCGCGGCGTCAGTGGCACCCACGCAGGCGTCTCGGAGAGCGCAAGATCGCACGTCGCGACCGTTGCATCGTCGCACGTCGCGTCAAGAATACTCAGCGCTAGCGTCGACTGCGCCGGCACCTCGGCCAACGGCACAACCCAGTGCCATGCCCACTCGGCGCCAGAGTTGGAGAGGGCGAGCGGCGACTCGAGTACCAGAGTCGCCGTAGGTGGCAGCGAGACCCGCGCGACGAGGTTGCAATCGGGCGCCACGACAGTCCTTGCTTCAAGGACGAAGAGATGGCGATAACCAGAAATCGGGCTGCGCTGGAACGGCTCGAACGCCAACGTCACCACGACTTGGTGGCGCACCGCCCGTTGCGCCGGGTGCTCTTTGAGGTCGAGCGTCGTAGCGGCTCCGAGTTGCAACGACGCCAGTCGTGCAGTGCCAAGACTGCGACTGCCAACGTCGGCAAACAGCTCAAAACCCAGGCTTCCAACGGCGAGTGTGCGGTCTGTCGTGGGGAGAGAGAGCACTAGCACCGACAATGAGCCACTTTCAATACCGTTTAACCCGTGTCGTACCGGTGCCAACGGACAGATGCGCCGAGACGGCACCGCCGCCAGGCGTCAGCGTTGCGACGAGGGTACCTGGCGAGCCCCGGCGCAGCGACACCGTCACGCGGAGGTAGCCCGCGCGCATGCTCTCAACGGCATCCCAAGGCCCTCGGTACGCGAGACGTAGCTGGACGCCTGGCCGCAAGGCGACAGAAGACGCGGTGGCGCCGACGACCCACTCGACCTCGTCCGACGTGGCGTCGGCCAATCGAAGCGTGTCGCCAAGCGCAGAGTCGCACGTCCAAGGCGGCGGTCCGTCCAAGAGCTGCGCTGGCTGGCCCGGCCGCCACAGCCGCAGGCCGCCGTCGACGTGGCCATCGGGCGCAATCTGGATCCGGCCCATAAGAAGGACCGTTACAACAGTTATAAAATGGTTTGGAAAAGTTATCACGCAACTCGACTGCTATTCGTCGTCGTCGTACTCTAGCGTAAACTCGGGGGCGGGGGCTGGCTCCTCCTCTTCAAAGTGCTTGACAGGCGCGACGACGGCGACGGGAACCGGCACGGGTGCTGGCGGCGTCTCGATCACCGCCGGCTTGGCGCCCCAGCGGGATTGACGCACCCGCTTCGGCGATCCGGATGGCGCCGGCGACTGGACCAACGACGACGACGTATTAGGAGCACCAATCGACGTGTTATTCGAAGTGTAAAGCGGGTACTCGACCGGCTTGGTGGGCGGCGGCCCGTACGTGGAGGGTGCGTGGGGCGACGACCGGGGTGGCATCGAGCTGGTCTCGACGGCCGTGCCGAGCTGCGCTTCGCCGTGGGCAAATCTAAAGCGTAGCAAAGGATCAACACAAGCGCCATAACGCAGCGACAGTCGTACGTGCAGCGGTCGCCGTAGCGGCAGTTGCCGGACGGAAAATTCATGCAGAGACGCGTCTTGAGCTGCGGGCGCGGCGGGCGGGCGCCTGGTTCGCCCGGTTGCTGCGGGCGCGGCGGGCGGGCGCCTGGTTCGCCCGGTTGCTGCGTCGGTCCATCGTGCGCGAAGCGACAGCCAGCGCCGCGGAAGCAACGGCCTTGCGCATAGTCAAAGCAAACGCCCTTGGTAAACCCACCGCCGCCACCACCAAACGACGGCTGTCCGAACGACGACCCACCCTGGTTGAAGGGCGACGACGAGGAAGGGCCCTGATGCGGCGCCGACGAAGGGGTACCCTGTCGAAACGGAGGAGGGCCCTGGTTAAAGCCCGATGACGACGACGGCCCCTGGTTAAAGCCCGACGACGGCGGTTGTCCCTGGTTAAAGCCCGACGAGGGCGGGCCCTGGTTATAGCTCGAAGAGGGAGGACCCTGGCTGAAGCTGGACGAGGGAGGGCCCTGGTTGAAGCTGGAGGAGGGAGGGCCCTGGTTGAAGTTGGATGAGGGTGGGCCTTGGGTATAGCCCGATGAGGGAGGGCCTTGGGAATAACTCGACGAAGGCGGGCCCTGTTGGAACGACGAGGAAGAAGAAGCTCCTTGGCCAAACGAAGCTCGAGGAGGCCCTTGGTTGAACGATGGTGACGACTGGCGGTACGAGCTGGACTCGGCGTAAAAGGATTGCTGCTGCGGTGGTGGCTGGACGGGATCGGGACGCCGGCGACTGCTGTCGCGAGGAGGACTCCGGCTGCGGGATCTACGCATTTCCTTGAGCATGGCATACGTCACTTTTGACGCACCGCATGCGCGTCCGTCGGGGCGAGCGCGAGCGCGACCGGCCACGCGAGTTGGAGTCCCGTCGCGGTGACGAGGGATGTCCGTACCGCGGTCCGTTGGAGGAAGAACTCGTGTGCGACTGCGGTGCATAGCTAGAGTACGAAGACTGTGCCGGTGGGGCCGACGCGTACGACGACGAAGTCGCGTGCGGGCTGCCGCTCGGGGCCTTACTATCGTGGTTCTTCTCTTCGCGCTGCTGCTTCATGCGCTTTATGTTGTCAAGGAGCATCGCAAGCTTCTCCTTCTCTGCGTCCGAGTTGAGCGGCGGCGCGGCGGACGTTGAGGTTGTGGGCTACGTCGGCTGCATGAGCCACCAGACGAGACATGCGCGCCGTACCGGTGGCGGCGGCGTGGCGAGGAACTCGGCGCCTCCAGCCTTGGAAATGTCGTCGCGCGAGTAGACGCGCCGGGTGGCCCAGTCGTGCACGATGCGGTGCGCTTGGTCCTACATCCTGCGATGGGCTCGCATCCTCGACACCGATCGGCTACCTTGGCGTCGGGCGCGAGGTGCTTGACGGCCGAGAGCGTGTGCGAGAGGTGCTTGCTGAAGCGCGCGGCGAAGACGTCCTTCTCGACGCCGTACTTGGCCTGCGACTGGCGGATGACGGCGTCAATGACAAAGAGGAACCCGAGCGGGTGCTCCGACTTCCACATCATCGTCTCGATGGCATGCACCACGCGCTTGTAGTCCTTGATGAGCCGCATGCACACAGCGCTGGCGGCCTTGACGCGGGTCGCGGACGTGCCCTTGGGCGTCGCGATCTGGGCGAGCGCGTCCTTGATCTCGGCCTCGCCTTCCTTCCACGACAGCGCCATCCAAGACCAAATATCCACTCGTTCCCACGAGGAAATTCGACCGGATAAACCTTCGACATCTAATACCGCCTTTTTCAGCCGCGCATCGAAGGCCGCGCCGTGCCGCGTCATTGGCCTCGTCCACGCGAATGCTTTCGCCTGTCGTCGAGATCCGCTCCTACGGCCGGGCTTTCCTGCACGGCGATCGCTGCCCGCCGGAATACGGCAATATTAATTATCGGAGGTTGTAGCCCTCCGGGCAAGATCGCGGCCACCGTCCACCGACGACACGGGTTGAGGCCACTGGGTTGAGGCGACAGACGTGGGAGACGTCACAACGTCAAGGCCGCCGGCGATGACAGTCAAGAGCTTCCACAACGGCAGCTGCGAAGCCCTGCGTACAATGTCTATTAACGTTAGTACGCCTCGATTACGAGCTAGTGACATGTACGGTCGATCGTGCGTCCGCGAGCTACTCGGCTGTCAGCATGTTGAACTCTTCTGCTACCCAGATCAGCGTCCTTGGCAACCGCCGGCGACGACTGCCAAAGATCGCAATACTGAGTGCGAGCTCGCGCGATCTTGGCCGTTTCATTGGTCGACGACGGGTGACGGACCAATCAGCGGCGAGCTAGGTCACGACGATGGGTCACTGGTCGAGTTGCCAAGATGAAGGAGGCTGCGCAGATCGCCGCGTCATCCGAGCCGCAGTCCAACCAAAAGGACGAGAGCGCGGTCAAGGGCTCGAGCCTGCGCGACCTCGTCGCTGCCATCGAGCGCGAGGTGCAGTTCCTCGATGGCACGATCCCGCTCGCGCAAAAGGCCAAGCTGCAGGAGGCGCTCGCGGCCTACAGCGGCGACATGGACGAGCTCGGACGCTACGTGCACTTTGACCCGTCGCGCAACTACACGCGCAACCTGATTGCAACCGACAACACAACGTACGCGCTCATCCTCCTCTGCTGGAACCGCGGCAAGTACAGCCCGATCCACGACCACCCGTCCGACGGCTGCTGGGTCCGCCACATCCAGGGCACGGTGCACGAGGTCCGGTACTGGAACGACGGCGTGACGCTGGCCGAGGCGTCGAGCGTCATGGTCACGCACGGTGTGACGTACATGGACGACTCGCTCGGCCTCCACAAGGTCGGCAACCCGAGCGACGAGGTCGACGCGATCACGCTGCACCTCTACGCGCCGCCGTACGAAAAGTGCCGGCTCTACTTTGACCCGGAAGACGCCAATAAGAACTCGGTGGCGTTTGCCACCTTCTACTCCGAGTACGGCGACATGACGCAGGGCGGCGATTATTAACAAGTCCTATAAGATAACACTGCGTTCTAGTCCAGCACACTCGACCTGCTTGGCGACTACGAATACATATCAGTCTATTGTTCTGCAATCCAAGGACGGATCACCATTCGACGTTCCGACGTGCACAAGATACTGCATCGACATCATCTTCCGCCCGTCACATGTCGCCGCCTCACCGGAGGAGATGGACCGGCGCATCGCGAACACGCCGAACACGTCCAACGCGGTGATGGTCTCTAGTACATCTCCCTGCCATGTTGAAGGCTGTTGCTATGCAGCTTGGTATGACGTAGGGCGCAGTCCAGCGAGCAAGATCTCGATGGTCAACCTCCTCATCTCAGAGTACCAGTCGAATGGTATACTACCAAAGTCCCGGTTGGTAGGTTCTTCAACAAGGGACCTCCTTCCGCATGCCCTACTGACTGCGGCAACTCCGACGGCGGTCGCGCCGTGCCCCGCTTTTCGACCAATCGCAGCGCCATCGGATTCTTTTTGGCCAATCATCGATGCTGCTTGTGAATCCAGCCAATCCGAGCCCGGCAAACGCAGCTGTTTGTGCAAAAGATCGCAAGGCATTATATGACGACGCATTTGTATGGTGATGGGATGATAGCGCTATAAAAATATTGCGGTCCTCCCGACTCGGCGATTTGCCATGCGCTGCCTCCATGTGCTTGCGGCGTTGCTGCCGGCCGCGGCCGCCAAGACGATCCTCCACATCTCCGACATCCACCTCAACATCACGCTCAATGAGCTCAACTACGGCCACGACTCGAGTCCGCGGTGCGACGCCGGTGCCAACGAGGTGCAGCTCAACCGTGCGTAGGCTGCTCGAGTCGGCGCTCGCCTACGCGCAGAGCGTCCTGCCCGAGCCCGACCTCTTCTTGCACACGGGCGACTCGGTCGCGCACACCAAGCTCAACGAGTCGGTCTTGCTGCAGAGCGTGCGCCAGAACGTGCAGGCCATGGAGCGCTACTTCCACGCGCGCAACGCCACCGCCATCGTGGGCAACGCCGACTGCGGTGCGTCGCCGCTCTAGCGCTTGTGCAAATGTTTGGCTAGTCGACGACTACCTCATGAACGTCACGGACCCGGCGAGTGGCACGAACCCGACGATCGGCATGATCGACGCGGCGTGGCGGCCGTCGCTGACGCCGGCGCAGTTCCACGCCTTCGACACCCGTGGCTACCTCTGGTACCAACTCGAGACGAACCTCATTCTCGTGACGCTCAACACGGTTCCGTACTCGGTACGAACCTTGCTTTTCATCTCCGTCATGGAGCCTCGTGCGCAGGTGCGCCACGCGCCCAAGACGACCGACATGCCCGACCCGTTTGGCCAATTCGCATGGCTCCGCCAAGTCCTCACGGACGCCAAAGCGAACGGCTCGTACGTGTACATTGCGGGGCACATCCCGCCGATCATCGACTCGTACGCGGGCAAGCAGCAGTGGGAAGTGCAGTACATTGTGCAGTACCAAGCGATCGTGCAGCAGTTCCCGGACATCATCAAAGCGCAGGTAGACGACACCTCGTCTCTATATCCGATCTGATTGGGCGCTAGCTCTTTGGCCACGTCCACAACATTGAGTACCGGTATGGAATCCCGCATGAAGCCATGTACCACGACTCGTGTAGGGTCCCGATCCCGACGCTCGATGGCGCAGATAGCGTGCCCCTCTTCGCAACGGGTGCCATCTCGCCATACTTTGGCAACAATCCGTCGTTTACGGTGCGTCGTTAACGCGACAGTGGCCAGACGCTTTACAGAGGAGTAGGTGTGGGAGTACGACAACGTGACGTACGACCTGCTGGACTTTACGGTGTACGCGACCAACTTTACCGATACGACGCTCGTCGCCTCGACGATTGTGGGCTGGAAAAAGGTCTTCTCGGCGTCGACGGCTTACAACATCACCAACCTCTCGAGCCAGACGTTGCGCAGCCTCACGCAGCGGTAGCCTTCCAACGTTCGTTTGTGTTCCGGAGTTCATTTCGGTGTAGCATGAAGAACGACTCGGCACTGCTCTTCGAGTACTACCGCCACACCAAGGCCGACTCGAAGCGCCTTCCGCCGTGCACGAACGACGACGATAGCGCGTGCTTGGACGGGATTCTCTGCACGCAGACGTGGTTCACGACGCCCGACCAGTACCTCGAGTGCGTCGACGAGCGCATAGAGGAGCGGGGCGGCCGCCGTCGGCTCATCCACGCGATCCCGCGCATTAGCTGGTTCTATGCGCTGCTCATCTCGGCACTCGTCTCGGTCATCGTGAGCCAGCTCCTCGTGTGGCTCCACCACCGCCTCAAGCGCACCAACTACGTCTCGATCCGCGAGCCCGTGCATGTCGACCCGTAACAAGCTCGGATGGAGTCATAAATTACATGGGTACGGTTTAGTTGAGTTCGCCAAACTCCGAGTAGAAGCTCGAGACGGCCGTCGAGACCTTGGTCGCATCCGACGGGTCGAACCAGAGCTTGCACTTGTCGTACGGCGGCGCGTAGAGGTGCAGCGTAATCGCGTCGACCTCGTCACTCGGGTTGCCAATCTTGTGGAGGCCGAGCGAGTCGTTCATGAACGAGACGCCCTCGACGATGTTGTCGTTGGACGTCTCGACGAGCTCGGCGCCCGTGTTGGTGTACCGGACCTCGTTGACGGTTCCCTGGATGAGGCGGACCCAGCAGCCGTCGGACGGGTGGTCGTGGATCGGGCTGTACTTGCCCTTGTTCCAGCAGAGGAGCATGAGCGCATACGACTCGTTGTCGGTCGCAATCAGGTTGCGCGTGTAGTTGCGCGACGGGTCAAAGTGGGCGTAGCGGCGGAGCTCGGCCATGTCGCCGCTAAAGTCCTCGAGCGCGTGCTTGACCTCGTCCATCTTGTGCAGCGGGATCTTGTCGTGGAGGTCGATCACCTGCTCGATGGCGTCGACGACCTCGGCCAGCGACAGCGTCTTGCGCTTCAGCATCTCGGTGGTTGGTTGCGTCTTGCGGAATGGCCAAGAACCCTATTTTGGGATCTTGTATCTCTTTCGCGTACGTATACCGCCCCATACTTTACCGCTGCTTTGCGAAAAACGACTCGGCGTTTGTATACGCACCTGTGGCACCACGTGGCTTGAACTTCAAGGTGGCCATCACCGCACCTCGCACGTCGTCGTAAAAGTGAGGGAGCTCGGCGAGGGTGATCGATGAAGCTGCGTCCTGCAAGCTCCTCGGTGGGGCCGTGGCCGCGCGTGCTTGGCAATGAACAAGGGTCCATAAACTGTTGACGATCCCTTGGCGATGACCCATGCGAGTTGCGTGCGATTAGCCATCCCGTCGTCCCGCAAGAACTTGCGTTTTGGACACGCGCAAGGGGCGCGAGCTTGTCGTGACGTATGCATAGTAGCCAGCACATCCTCGCCTCCGCCATCAGCTTGAAGCACGCGCTGGTGGTACAGTAGTAAGACTTGGCGGTGTCTGGAGCTCCAATGAGCCATCGAAGGTTTCGATAGCCGACACTTGCCACCCTGCTTGCCAGACCACCGACGTGCTTGTCAGCTCGTTGCGTGTTTGTTTAGCCGGCTCAACCGGTTTGGTTGGGACGGTTGGCGAAGGTGGTCGTCGAACGGGAGCCCACATGTTCGGACCCATAGGTCGATGTTCCTTGATGAAGCTACAGACCAGGACCATGAGCTACCACTCGTACAGAGGGGCCATGAGCTTGGAAAAGGCCATGAAGAGATGCCTTTACGTTTTCTACGCGCAAAAGAAGAATCCCCAAGACTCGACGCCCGGTCCCAGGCAGATCGGCGTCACGAGACCGCGCGGTTGCGTAGCTGTAGATGTAGCGTCAGTTGCCGTTTGGATTCCAACGTCTTAAGCCCACATCTCGACCACCCGACGCGGTGGGCGACTGTCTTTCCCCAAGCAGTTGAAATTGCCGCGTCCACAGCAGGTCCAGGTCCCGCAATTGGGTCCATCGGGCCCTAGAAACGTTCGGCGAAGCTTCTTCAGTGCGCGGGCGGTCTCTGGCGGCCGCCCGAAACGCACCGTATCTTTGTGATGGACGACGCCAAGCGAGCGGCCGACGCCGACGTCTGCGCCGAGATCCGCGCCCGCTTGCTAGCCGGTCCCGACGGCCACGAGGCCAAGCTGCTGCTGCTCGCCAGCCTCTTGCACCGACATGGCCTCACCTCCAGCATCGGCAAGTCGCTGCTCAAAGGTAGCACGGCCACACGGCCCGCGTCGATCCTCATCCCGTTGGCGTAGAGCTCCTCTTCCAGCAGGACGTCCGGGGACGACAGCTCATCGACGCCATTCTGGCCGAAGAAGCCTCGGACACCGCTGTGCCTGCGTGGCGCACGCGCACCCGCAAGCTCATCGGTACTCGTACCTGCATGCAAGGCTGTGGCGTCATGGAGCTGCGCAGACATTGAGACGTTCAAGCTCTTTGACTCGCTGTACCTCGACTGCCCGCTCGAGAAAGGCAAGGACATCTCGCGCAAGGACCGCGAAGAGCAGGAGCTTTTGCACGAAAAGGTGCGTGAGGACTCACGGCCCGGTGTCCACCATGCATCCCATCTAGTCGCTTGTCTACGGCGAGGTCGACTACCATGCATTCCTCGACATCCTCTCGCGCGTGCCCACGCGCCCTGGCGACACCTTCTACGACCTCGGCAGTGGCACCGGCCGCGCCGTCTTCCTCGCGCGCCTCAACTTTGACTTTGCCAAGTGCGTTGGCATCGAGCTCCTTCAAGGCCTCCACGAGGCGGCGGCCGAGATCTGCCGCAATTACACCGAGTTCGTCCAGCCCACCATCTCGACGACGTCGCCGGAGCTCGCCGTCGCCTTCTTCCACAGCTCGTTTCTGGACCTCGACTGGTCCCACGCAGGTACATCGCGCTCTCTTCAGCGTCGACCCATGCAATCTAGACGTCTGCTTTGCCAACTCGACCTGCTTTGACGCGTCGCTGCTGTACAAAATGTCGGTGCAGGCCGAGCGGCTTCGTCCGGGCGCGTACTTTATCACGTTCACAAAGCCGCTCGACTCGACGGCCTTCGACATCATCTTCAAGCAGCGCTACAGCATGAGCTGGGGGCCCGCGACCGTGTACCTCCACCAGCGCCTTTAAACTTTTGCCCAGCCATCAAACCTCCTTTGTTTTGACAAGACTATCCACGCTGCAACGACCTAGCGCCGGGAGGAACGGTCGTCCGACGACGACCGGCGGCGGCGATCCCGACGGGGTGACGAGGAGCGGCGACGGTGGTGCTCGTCCGGCGATGACGACCGGTGGCGACGGCTGCGCGACCGAGACCGGGAGCGCGACCGCTTGGAATGCCGCTTGGGCGACTCGCTGGCGTCGCGCGACCTGCGGGACGACGGCGGCTTGCGCTCTACGCGCCATTCGAGCATGAGCATCGGTATACGATATCGACCATGGTGCGTACCACGGGAGCGAGACGAGCGGTCGTCGCTGTCGTCGTCGCGGTGCTTCTTGGCCTTGGCATCCTTCTTCTTCTTCTTCTTGGCTCTCTTTTCCTCCGTGGACTTGGCCGAGATCTCGCCGCAGTCGGCGATCGTCACGTCCATCACGGGCTTGTCGTTGCGACCGCGGTCGACTGCTACCATCTTGCGCACCACGTCCATGCCATCAATGACCTCGCCAAAGACCACGTGCTTCCCGTTGAGGTGCGGCGTCGGCGCGAGCGTGATGAAGAACTGCGAGCCGTTCGTGTTCGGACCCGCGTTGGCCATCGAGAGCAAGCCAGCCTTCGTGTGCTTGTGCTTGAAGTTCTCGTCCGCAAACTTGGCCCCGTAGATGGACTCGCCGCCCGTGCCATTGCGGTTCGAGAAGTCGCCGCCCTGGCACATGAAGCCCGCGATGATCCGGTGGAAGATCGAGCCTACGCCACGAGTAGGTCAAGGCGCTTCGAGTAGATGCTGGTATACCCTTGTAGTGGAGAGGCTTCTTGGTGGTCTTGCCGAGGCCGCGCTCGCCGGTGCAGAGCGCGCGGAAGTTCTCGGCCGTCTTGGGCACGTCTTCATAGAGGCGGAAGTCGATGCGCCCAATGGACTTGCCGCCCACGGCCATGTCTACCGCTGCATGAGCCTCGCGCTTGCTGCATGATCCTACCAAAGTAGACGCGCATGCTGCTTGCTGCTCGACCTTGGACCTGTGGAGCGATTGGAACGCCCGGTTTTCCTTACAAGCACACTCTCGATACAAGAACAACACATCGAATTTGGCGCCATACGCCCTGTTCAACTAATCGTGCACAATTCAAAGCTTCATTTGCTCTTACGGATGTGGATATATACAGGCAGCGTTGCCACGCATCAAGTGCACTTACTTGCCCGGGTGGAGGCCGAGCTGGCCCGGCGACGGCTCTCCCGTGACCTCGCCAAAGTACAAGGAAAACGTGGCCTTGAGCTCTTCGATGTTGGCGCGGTCCTCCATCCACGACTGGAACGCGAGCGAGTTGGCGCGCTGAATGTCCCAGGGCTGCACACCGCTGGCCGGCAGCACGTCTGTGCGCGACGAGAAGCCACCCATGAGGGTCGACTGGACCTCCTTGGAGACGATCCAGTTGACAAAGAGCTTGGCGGCCGCGGGGTGCGGCGCCTCCTTCAGAATCGCGATGCGCTGGCCCCACGCGAGGTAGTCGGATGTCGCGTTCGTGCCCGTGATCTCCTTGACCGACGCCGTGGGCGCGGGGGCCGAGCCCGCGATACCGATGGCCTTGCGCTGCGCAGTGACGGCGAGGTCTGGCGTGTGGGACCCGCGCTTGAACTCGATCTGCTGCGCCGCCATCTTCTTGACCCAGTCCCAGCCGTACTCCTTGACGTAGCGGTCGTAGACGAACAACGTCGCGTCGTCGTCGTGCGGGTAGGCAGACGCAATGAGGCCCGCGTACTTGGGGTCGGCGAGGTCTTTCGCAGTCGCGGGCGGCGTGAGGCCCTTGGCCTGCAGCTGCGCCTCGTCGTAAAAGTAGCTGAACGTAAAGACCGCGTGCGAGAGCCACGTGCCGTCGGGGTCCGTGAAGCCGTCGTAGACGTTGCTAAAACCGTTGGGCTTGTACTGGAGGAGCTTCTCTTGCTTCTTCCAACGCGGGTAGTCGTTGAGCGTCTGGAGCGCGACGACGTCCGCGACGAGCGTCTTGGTCTCGATCTGGTTGTCAATGCGCGCGTTGTGGTACTTGCTGTAGTCGACGACCATCGTCAAATTGAGATCCGGGTACGCGGCGCGGAAGGCGTCGGCGACGTAGTCCTGCTGCTGGGCGTGGTCGCCGCCGTGGTACACCACGAGGTTGCCGCCTTCCTTGCGCGCTTCTTCGTAGAGCTCCGCGAGGGGACCTTGGGTCTCTTCCGCGACAGACGCGAGCGACCCGCAGCCCGCTCGGAGCGATGCGCTGGTCGTCGCGACGACGAGGGCGAGAACCGGAAAGACGTGGAGAAGCTTCATGCTTGGGGGCTTGAGAGAAAATCAAACAATGAGGATCCGAGGTGGTGTCGGCCATCGGGCTAGCAGATTCACTAGATTTCTGAGAGCGAGCTACAGGATGACTCCGGCTGTATGCGAAACGGACAAGACATATGTGTCCCAGGTTGAAGTGCGTCGCAAACGACGACGACACTATTAGACCAAGACCGACAAATAGAACTCACTCCGCTCACTGGACTCCTCTCCAACGCGAATAACCCGGTAAGTGATAGAGTCCAGCTCTCGTTTGGTTTTAATTGAGCTACACCAGCTAAAATCTACGTACACCTTGCGCAGGTACTCGGTGCCACCCCAGTCCATCGCGTCACGACAGATTCCTGTCACCAAGAGCGTATGTCGGTCACGCAGACCGGAACAATCATCCGACCGGTACCGAGATACGCAATGTTTCACCGATCTGCATATTTGAGGCCAAAGAATTCGCGGAAGTTGTTTCCGCATTTCTCACCCTCGTGCCATACCAATGTTGCTGAAGCTTGTGCGCCAGGAGCACGACGCGCTGCTCGAAATGCAGACATATTACGCCCGAGTCTTCGATTGAAAACAAGCTCGCTTTACGAAGACGCGGGTCGAAACGGCAGCAAGTGTGCGACGTCTACGAGACACATCTCGTCAACATGTATCGTTTCTATGCGCATTCCGGTCCGACCTGCGCGCCAAGCACGTCCATCGTTGGCGATGCTGCCGCCTTTAGCTTAATCTAGCGGCGCGTAAAATTTCTTTTAGAGCCTCGCCCGATCGACCACTGTGCGTTTGAAAATGAAATGACCGAGACATGGGTGAAAGGACACTTCGGAGAGCACGGAATTGGAGGGCGATTTGCCGTCCGAGGCGTACAGCGGTAGCGAGGCGCAATTCAAGGTGCAGCACTCCAAACTAAGATCGTAGTGCCGTCTTAGAGGCACCACTCAGGACGTCGACGCCACTTGTCGACAACCTGGTCGACAACACCAATTCATTGCAAAATCACCCAGTGCCCAGGGATGCCGGAAATCTGCATGTTGAGCCTCTGTCCATCACTAGTGACTTGTAGTGGACCGTTGAAAATGATCCCAACATTTTTCAATATTTCTTATATTTTGGCCATGTACCGCTACAGCAGGCGCGATCTACGTGTACGTACGCACCGTCAACGCTCGATTTGCGTCTCGACGCCGAGCCTGCATACGGCTGCACGCGCCGACCGTCATCCGCTGCACTCCGGTTCAACGTCATATCCTCCTACTCGTCCTTCGTGGCGCAAGCTTCCGGCCAACGTCGACCCTCGTGCGACCACTTGTAAGAGGCCATGTTGGTGCTCGATAAGGGCGACGCCGCCCGTATTGATGTGATGCTGGAAAAAGTCTCCATCCGTGGCCAGATTGAACTATCAAGCCACGCACATCGTGCTCGTCGATGTTAACAGCCTCCGGTACAAAAGGCGTCGACAAGGACGCCTTGATTTCGATCGATGCGTACAGTTCGGCGCCTGGCACCGTCTTTGCGACGCCATAATCTTGGACGCGCTCTTCGAACAATACGATGTCGCGGTAAGCTTTTTTTTGTGAGATGGAGAGGAATTGATGAATAGGATAGAATACGAGCGCAGGACTCGTGTTTGTGGCCCAACACACCGCCTTTGACAGCTTGCTGTCGCTTTGATTGGCGACACCAAGATCGTTGCCCCAGACCAAGGCGTGTGTCGTGCAGCAGCTCATGGCGCAAGGGTACATCGCGTTCTGGTAGCTGGACCTACACATGATTCGTGCTCTACACCCTTCGACTAGACGAAGACGACGACGACTTGGCTTTCTTCGTCTTCTTATGCTTCGTGTTCGTCGTGTTACCGACAAAGTCGAGTGCGTCGGCCTCCCGCATATAGCTGGTGGCGGCCATGAGCGCCTTGGGTCGGCCCACGATGGCACCCATGGTGTCGGCGCTCGCTGCACTTGGCGCCTTGGTCGTCTTGGCTCTGCTGTAGGGCCGGCTTGCGAGGGCGGCTTGCGTCGGCCTGTTTGGCGGTGAACCGGACTCAGCGCGATGCCTTCGTCGGTGTACTTCTTGATGTTGGCGGCGGCGTGGTCTCGTCGGGCGCAAACAGGTCGATGGCCGGCGGCGTCGGCTTGGTCTTCTTGAGCGCCTTAACGCGGCCGTCGAGGTTCCGCTTGCGCTTCTCGCGGAAGGCAGCGCGCTCTGCCTCGCGTCCACTCCACTTCTTGTGCTTCCCGATCCGCAGCCCGGCTCGCTTGGAACACGATCTGGAATCGATGGTTTTATTGGCTAAATTCATTAATCTTTCTAGCCAATCACAAGACTTTGTTCAACACCCGTCATGAATAGTGTGAGCACCATGCAGCACAACGACAAGTAGCAGCCCACCGACGCGCCAGCGCCACGTAGCAGCCGTGTATAAATCTCCACACACCTCTTGAACGACGTACATGCCATTTCCGAAGCTGCACGTAGTGCAATCACGCGCCAATCCATTTTCCATTTTTCGGGGTGGTGGCAGAATTGCCCAAATACTTCACGTGACATCGCGGGGTTCCAAAGCTCCAAGGACCGTAAAACTGGCTGCCACAGTTGGCGATGGGTCTCGACCCAGGCTGCGACCAGTTTGTTGGGCGCCGTCGTTGCTTGGGCACTCACACCAAACTCGAACTGCCGAGCGTCGGTTTTCAGGAAATTCGGCATGCGATTTCGGTCGAAAATGCGTCGAAGTCACGGAAACCGAGGACGTCATCTCTTTTTGTTCATGTTAGAGAACGTGTTGCTTGTGGCCGAGGGAGGCAACGTGCGCGCGGTACCGCTGCGTGATGAGGCCTTGTATCATGATACATTATTTCGGTACAGAGAAAATCACACTATATCAAAATACAGTTTGCCGCTGTCAATTGTGCTCGCTACAGAGCTCGCACGGCGACGTCACATAGCATTTTGGACTCCCCAAAGTGTGGTCTAGTACTCTGGCAAGTATGGGAGATTTTATTTTCAAACTTCATTCTGGTCGATCCGCCGGTGAGGCGGCCTATGTTCGCCCAAATATGGTTACTTGTGGTTGTAAATGGCGAACGCCAAGAAGATAAGTGGCGACGCCAGAACGACGACACCGAGGCTTCTTGGGCACCACTGATGCTGCTGCATTGTGCTCGATGAGACTCCATCAACAGTCTCTACGCACATGCAATCATGAGGTATCGCTCGGTCGCAATGGAGCGTTCCTCGTCGGTCATTTTCGACGCCAGGCGTTTCAGCCAATAAGAGCGACAGGACTTGCGATTTCTGGCCAATCAGAGTGGCAAGGAATCCAATCACTAGTGTTCTTGCCGCGGTTCTCAGACTGATCATCGCCACCTTTCCAGGCAAGTGGTACGTGGCACGCCGTGCGCAGGCCTCAGGCCGAGGCGCTCACGCAACGTCGCTGTAGATATGGCGCAGCCTATCCGTGCGTGACGAGCCACCGAGTCGGCCCTTGGGCGGAGCCCTGGCCAATTTCTCGACGGCCTCTCTCGCACCGCTCGTGCACACGGAGGTGGTGCCAGCTCGCATCGATCCTCACGTCGATCGCCGAGTTGGGCGAGGTATTTTTTGCGCCTACACACAACCTTGTGCCCGTGGCCTGACGCCGGCTCCTTAGCGCCGCTGACACGATGCGACTGCGCGGCGTCTCGGCGTCCGACAGCTTTGTGCTGTACCCAAGCTTCCTCACCGGTCT